CAACATAGTTTTCAAATTCAAAAAAAAAAAATCAATATATTCGGAAAAAATTAAAAATTTTATAAAAAAAATTTAGCATACATAAAAAGGTAGATTTCGAATAGACAAATTTTGTTTAAAAAAAAAAAATACAATCAATAAATATCTAAAAAAAAAATTTCACATTAATAAATCCATAATAAAAAAAAATTTACAAAAAAATGGATAATAATAATAATCACGATGGTTGGATTAATGGTTTTAATTTTAACGATGATACTCAAAACTCTGTCGTCAATAATTTAATTCTTCAAAATCCTGGTGGAAATAATTTCACTCACCAAACCCCTAATTACAATAATAACTTATTTCATAATAATTTTTTTAACCAGAACTCTGCCAACAATGATGGCGCTCATCAAGACACGATCTATAATAATTCTATTCATCAATATTATAGTAACAGTAATTTTGTTTATCAAAATAATCTCGTTAATAATATCAACAGCATTGTCAGTTCAGTTAGTATTATCAATAATAATAATAATAATAATAATAATAATAGTCAACAACAACAACAACAACAACAACAACAACAATCATAGCAGCAGCAGCAGCAGCAGCAGCAACAACAACAACAACAACAACAACAACAACAGTGATCTCAACTAATACTATAAAGACTACTCATAAAGGCTCCCTCAACATTGATTTCGTTGACCAAAATAATTATTCCAATCGTCATCAAAATTCTGTCGTCACCAATGATCACAATTACAGAAATTCGACTAGAAACCAACTAGACTGCATCAAATTTTAACTTCTAAATGAGCTCAATGTTATAAATCAGTTGTTAAATAGAATGACTCATAGTTAATACTTTGTTAATGTTAATGACTATTAACTGATAATAATAAAATAATTTTTCATAAAATAATGGACAATAATAATATAATATTAATATTAATTGGTTAATTTATTAGTTTTAACTTTTTTATTTATTTTTGATATTGTAATTCAATAAACGAAGTATTTGATCAAATTAATTTCAATAGTAAAGTTATTTACGTAAAATAAATAAACTTATAAACAATAAGCACCCATTCGACCTTAGAAGGCGTTGAATTTGTGACGTTTATTTTTTTATTCGATGCCTTTATTGTTCATATAAATCGACTAATTCAACTTTGACACACAAAACCTTGGCGTAATTTGAAATTAGTGTTTTTGATGAAATTTTACAAACTCGAATACCTTATTATTATCTACTTTTAAGGTCCACAGGATATTCAACTTATGAACTAATGTATTTATTTCTATATTATACTTTTCTAAGCTCGTGACAAATGAATTATTTCAGAAAACAAATTACTTTTATTTCTTTTATCATTACCCTTGGATAATAATGTATTTATGAATCTATTCCCTTCGATCAAATCAAATGAATTTATAATTATACTTGAGTATATTTTAACAGCATAATAATTACATTTTAAGTCTGTGGTATTTGCATAGGGTCGATTTTTTCTCACGTACCGTTCTCAAAACTAGAGTTTTACAAGTGTTCATGCCAGGTACCCTTTGCATCACGCCAAGCACTATTGGGCATTAGTGCCAGTACCAAGTGCCCGTCATTTTTTATTAGGAATGAATGCTTCTGCTTATGTCAGTACCTGCATCTCAACATTTTAGGCACGTGCCAGTGAGGTAGTCGGTTCAACTATGTAGATCAAAATTTTATATGGTATTATATAAAAATTAATATGTAGGGATTTTTATTGTATAAAGATCTGTTGTAAGTCAAAATCAAATTTGTGTCAATTTGAAATTTATGGGTGTTTGGCTAATTTGAATTTCACGCGTGAAATTCAGATTTCAAATCAGAGATCCAAATAATATAGATTTATTAGTAAACAATTTTCAAAATCCAACTAATCTACCCATTTTTTTAGTTAAACAAAAGCTTGAAACTTACTCTATCACTATGGAGCTTAGATTTTACATTTCCATTTAAATATTTTATTTTATTTTAATGTAATTTTTATAGTCAAGCAATAGCAAATACTTTTTAGTAATTAAAGAAAATCGAGAAAATCGTCACCTAGTTTCAATAGGTTATGAATTACTCTCATACCACTTTTTAATAAAGGTTTATTTGGCAGTTATGGCAAATAGAACTTGGATTTGCCTATTTTTTATTAATAAAATTATGTCAAAATTTTTTTTGTTGGGGTTTGCAATAAAAATTTGAAAAATTAATTTTTATACATTTTTAGTAAATAAATTTAATAGAACTCTTTTTCTACCATTTTTTTCTTTAATAAAAAATCGAAATATTTCAGCAAAAGATGGGGTTTTTTCAGGAGAAATTTTTCTTCTCTAATTAGGGAACGTAAATAATATTTTTTTTGTATTAATATTGACGTGTTATAGTATAAACCATTTTTAAAATAAAAGAGCACTTCCAAATAAGGCTACTATTGTGTTTATATTCTGATGCAAGATTTGACAACAATGTATTCTGACGAGTCTATTTCAAATTGCTTGCACATGGTTTAAAGAAAGTCAAAAGTGACAAAACATAATAAATAAATTAATTGATTGATATCATTATCAATGTTGTTATTTAATCTATTTTTCTTATTAACATTGATACTGACATATCAGTTATTGTTGTTATTGTTATTCAACAGAATTCTGATGATTAACGCTCATAATATTAGCTGAGTTCGGTTCAGCAACGAAATTATTTTGGTGATTATAAATCACGTTTTGACGAATGTAACTCTCCTCACCAATGCTTTGACAAATGTTCTCAGTGTTTTGATAAACGTAATTATTGTCGTCGACATTTTGATAAATATCTTCAAGAGTTTGATGAATTGTGTTATGAATCATGTCATGATGAACGTAATTATTATTACCAACGTTTTGATAAATTTCTCCAGGGTTTTGATAAATTGTATTATGAATCGTATTTTGGTAAACGAAATTATTGTCACCGACGTCTTGATAAATTTCTCCAGTGTTTTGACTAATGGGATTATTATGAACCATGTTTTGATGATCGTAATTATTCTCATTGACATTTTGATAAATTTCTTCAGGAGTTTGATGAATTGTGTTATGAATCATGTCTTGACGAACGGAATTATTATTACCAACGTTTTGATAAATTTCTCCAGGGTTTTGATAAATAGGATAATTATAAATCATGTTTTGGTAAACGGAATCATTGTCATCAACATTTTGATAGGTGTTTTCGGGGGTTTGATAAATTGTATTATGAATCATATTTTGGTGAACGGAATTATTGTTACCGACGTCTTGATAAATTTCTCCAATGTTTTGACGAATGGGATTATTATGAACCATGTTTTGATGATCGGAATTATTGCCACTGACATGTTGATAAACGTCCTCGTGGTTTTGATAAATTGTATTATAAAATGTGTTTTGATGAACGGGATTATTATTGTCACCAATTACAATTACAATGTTTTGATAAATTTCTCCGGAGTTTTGATGAATGTGATGATAAATCATGTTTTGACGAATGTAATTATCGTTACCAGAATTTTGATTAAACATGTTTTGGCGAACGTAATTAATACCATCGACATTTTGATATATGATATAAATCATGTTTTGATGAACGGAATTATTGTCGATGTTTAGCTAATATCAATATTATTAATATCAATATTATTATTATTATTATTATTATTATTATTATTAATTTTTTTTTTTTTTACGAATTGGTTTTTGGTCCAAAGTGGGGGATAGAGGTTCTATTTATACGTTTTTGTAGTAATTTATTAGACTATTTTTGTACTCATAAAAATCGGCACTTCGTGCCTCGTCCTAGTATTGAAGTCAATAGGTCACCAAAAGTCCATCATTATGGACGTCAATAACGATCACTAAAAGTACGACACAAATGCAAACTCGTCGTACCTCAAAGTACGACGCAAATGCAAACTCGTCGTACCTCAAAGTACGACGAAAATATGAACCAATCGTATAAGTAGGTAACAGTCTACCATAAGTAGGTAACAATATATATATATTGTTACCTACTTGCACTATATTGTTACCTACTACATATATTATAAGATTGACATGATTCTATTATAGTATCACAGACAACAATAGCACTACAATCTTCTATATCTACCATTTGGATTATAGAAAGTAAGGGTTCATTAGTGTGATGGTTCCAATATGACAAGCATACTAAGAAAATTTTTTTCTCTCCTCTAGTGCTTTCATCTGCAATAATACCATAAGAAAAGAATCTACAATCTTTATTAGGAAGATTGTCATGAATCACAACTTGAGCTACCTCTTTATTCCACCTTGCCAATGTTCTATGGGATAACCAGGATTCAGGTGATTGACCAGTTAGAAAGGCAAAGATCTCCTTTGTACATTGAACAGTTGAGGATAAAGACATCTGACCAATATTACTCATTTGAGTAGCTAGGGAAACAAATTCAGGTGTGTAGGCATTTTTATTTGCTTTGAATTTTTTTGTTACAGCATTTTGAAAGACTTTATCTGATATTGATTTCCTTTTACTAACAAGAGAACGGGTCTGGGAAGCATAAGTTTTTCTTCTTTGTTCTTGCCTAGTAACCTTAATTGCAAGTGATTTTTTATATGCATTAAGATTTTCAAATTTTTTTTTTAATTTTTTAATTTCCTTTTCTAATTCTTTCATTTTCTGATTTATCTCAGATTCATTATTCTGAGATTTGCCTTTAGTCATTAGGACCCATTCCATGGCTTTTTTTTGCAAATAAGGAGACAAAATCTTACCTTGATGTGTACCATTTGGATATTGCATGTTTTCAAACAATTGGGAGCAAGCAATTAATTCTTTTTCATCTAAATCATTTATTTTATTAATTAATTCAATTCTAATTTGCTTTGCCTTAGTACTAAGTTCTGCCATATTAGTTTGATCTATAGTATTAACAGATGAGTGATCTAAAATATCTCGGGGGTAAACATTTGATGCATTTTGGAAAGTTGAATCAAAGACATCTTGGGATAGAGAAACATAATCATCTCTGGATAAGGAATCATTGGTTACTAGAAATGACTTGTCAAGATCCATAGGTGAACTATTTTCTTTTTCAATTGGATCATAATTTTTCTCTTTTTTGATTAGACGGGCCTGTTGAATTAGCCTTAATTTTTGATGAAGTTTTGGCATTTTATTTGATCAAAATTTTATTAGACTAACAATCTTTTATAACAATTTTTATTTAATAACATTTTTCCATTTCCTTAAAAGAGAAGGATTGTCAAAGCAAATGTTAATAGAAAATTGGTAACTTTGAACCTTTACAAAAAATTTTTTTACTAATATAAATGGAAAAAACTCTCTGACAGGCCCTTAATTGAGCATATGCAAATACAATCGCGGAAGGATTATTCCAATAGCTTGCTTGGTTATCGAGCCTTTACGTTTTAAAGTTTAAATAAATTTCCATTGTTTATAGTAAAATCAATAAAATT